TATATATATATATATATATATATATATATATATATATATATATATATATAGGAAATATAAAACACACACAAACACACACACCATGTAAAAAACATACAGGCGATGGCTCTCTGCGTGTATTTGTTTAATACTAGCAATGGGCTTATTTTATATTTATTATTATTATTATTTTTATTAAATTTTGTCGGTGTATTTGCTTTTTTTTTTTGGTTTTTTTGTTAGTTTTTCATGTGCTCACGAAGCCCATAGAACTGAGTATTTGAATGTCTGTTGTGTGTATTGGTTTAAATATTATATAAATATTTATTTGTATATATTTATATCGATGAATTATATAAATTAATTTATTTATTTATTTATTTATTTTATTTATTTAATTTACTTTGCCGATGCCTCGTGTAGCCCCGGTGATAACGACGACCGACTGAGGCGTATATTTATCTGTACGTAGCGCCAAGGCGGGTGCTGAGTTTCCCATTTCTTCATTTGTTTTTGAATATATATTAAATAAAGTAAATTAAAAAGAAAAAATGAGAGTTTTCTTGAAAAAAAAAGAGGTTAGGGTCTCGATACAGACCAACAAACCCAAGGAAACAACACGCACACTGCAGGGAAGCTGCTGCGGCGGAGGGGGGGAAACAGGCGAATTTGGGTCAAAAAAAAGGAAAAAGAAATAAATATTTCAACTTTAAATGAATTTCAGAAAAAAAAAACGACAGAAAAAGCAAAAAAACAACCGAGGACCCTCAAAGGAGAGGTGTGGTTGCTGCTGGGGGGCATCCTTGTATCATTCAGGTTTGCTTGTTTCCGTCTATGTGATGGCTAGAGATGTTGAAATACTGGTTTATAAGGAATTAAACACTTAATAAAGGAATAAACTCCGTATTTTATTGCAAATATGCAGAAATCTCAAAAAAAAAACACAAAAACACCTAAAAGTTTAACCCGCCAGCCACAGCACAGCGGCGTGCGTCAGTGCATGAGGCCGAGGTTTCTATGGTGAGATCCTCGTTGTTCTGCTATCTATTTATATATTTTTTTTTGTATTTTTTCATTTTTATATTCTTTTTTCTTTATTTAACTCAATTTATCCCTTTTTTAAATTACTTTTACCCACCAAGTCAAGCCACTGATAGCGCACGGACGAGCTGCGCCGGGGCTACTACACTCGAAACACACTAGAATTTGTGTGTATGCTCGTTATCGATGCAGAGAAAAAAAGAGGAATTAAAGAATAAATTAAGAGTTTTATTTATATAATTAATATAAAAAACTAATTAAAGTGATAGATTTACCCCCTATAGATAACAACTGCATCTGTTTCCTTTTCTGCTGCTTGCTGCTGTGCTCGGCGTGTGCTGCTGCAGCACCGCCCTGCCTCGGTAGACATGCATCTTTGTATTAAATAGCTCATAAGAAACTGAATTAAAATAAAAAATAATTTATTTTTTAATATTTTTTAGTGTGTGATAGCTTAATCATCGATTCACGCCGCCGTTGCCGACAGCTCCTGCTGTATGTATGTATACAGGCGTGCGTACTGCTGCAGCCTCAGCCGCAGCAGCTCGTTTGTTGCTGCTGCATGCAGCAGCACAATCAATTAGAGGGGAAACAGAAAGCTTTTAAAGAACCCGGAGCAGCAGCAGCTACAGCAACAGCTGCTGCTGCTGCAGCAGCGGCAGCAGCAGCGTCGGCTGCAGCTCCTACTGCAGCAGCGCCAGCAGCAATGTGAACATCTGCAGCAGCAGCTGCAGCAGCAGCTGCCTCAAGAAAAGCAGCAGCAACAGCAGCTGCAGCAGCAGTTTTCAGTCGCTGTTTGTTTCTGTATATATATATATATATATATATATATATATATATATATATATATATATATATATATATATATA